GGCTAATAGGGAACGGAGGAAATTATCCCCTGCCACCCCTTCTGCAATATAGGGTTTAGGATTTCGGATAGTTTCCACATCCCTTTCATTACTTTGTCCCCTCTAACATATAGCAAACATCAAGAAGTCTACAGGCACATGTAACCCTCATCGCATCGCATGGAAGGAAACTTACTCAACATTACGGCATGCTCCTCGCGAAAGCACCCAAAACAATGTACCCTCCTGCAAACTAACATCAAAGAGGGCCCTACAAAGACTACTGTCCTTGTAGACAAAAGGCTTGCGAGATTTCACGTTAATTCGGGGTGAATCCAGCAAATGTGGGGACCTAGTTTTTGGAACCCTCCCCCACATTATCCCTACATACCCCCCCGTAGGGGTACCCTTACTCAGTCTCCTCCTCCAACTCCCACAACACCAGAGGTGCACGGTTACAATAGGGGTTTCGGGTTCAGGGATTTAGGCTTTCAAGCCTAGGGAATAGGGTTTAGGGTGTCAGGTTTAGGGACCCTAAACCCTAAACCGAGGAATAGCTAGGGACGCGCACCAGGGACGGGTGATAATCTCGAGAGCCCTCCCTCGCCCACAAAACCCATCATCGTCTATTTGATGGGTCATGGGCCGCTTAGTAAGTATACCTATAACCCGAATGCGCCGCATCACACTCCAAAAATTACCGCTAAAAGCCCACTTACTACGTCCCCCTTACGCTCCAAGTATGCTCTACCTTAAAGGGCACCGTAGAGTCTGATATCTAAACCCTAAACTCTAAATCCTTAACCCCTAAACCTGGACTCTAAGCCCTCCAACCTAAACTCTAAGCCCTCAACCCCAAACTCTAAACACCGAGCTGTATTTGTTTGGCAGACTGGAAGTTCCAACCCTAAACCGCAAACCTCGAACCTTTGAAGCTACATCCGAAACGCCAAGTTCGAAAACTACCAAGGCCCACATCTTGCCCATAAAGACCTGGTGAAGTTCCTGTAATGCCAAAAGATGCCAAAACCAATGCTGAAGCAAACTCGTCGGACCTGAACCACGACCCTAGACCCCTTGCCCACCTCCAATGCATGAGCATCCCTAAATCCAAAGCCCGAGCTCCAAAGCCCTACCTCCTCGTTACCCCAAACCCTGTAGACCTTAACCACTTATGGTCTCAAGGTCTCGGGGCTTGGGGCTGAGGGGCTTAGGATTTTGCCGTATGGCGCTTAGGCGTCTGGGCTTTAGGAGTACAAGGGCTTTGGTGGCTTCTGGGGTACAGGGGTTAGAGCTACAGTTTGGAGATTAGGGTTGGAGGTTTAGGGTTTCACGGGTTGAGATGTTCAGGGTAATCCCAACATCAGAAACGCACCCTAAACCTCCTGGAACCTAAACCCTAAATCGTAAATCCTAAATCTTAAGCCCTAAATCCTAAACCCTGAAACCTAAGCCCTAAACCCTCGCGGCAGTCCATGCTGAGGCCAATGCCTTTCCGGACTGGACTGCCCGGACATACTCCTGGATGCGGCGAGACAGGCCTGGGCCACCAAAAGAAGTGTTTAGGGTAGTGCGAAGAAGGGGTTAGGATTTTAAGGGTTCAGGGTCTAAAGAGTTTAGAATTTCAAGGGTTTAGTTTTGAGGGTTTAGGGGTTAAAGAGGGTCTAGGGTTTAAAGGGCTAGGGTTTAGGGTTTAGGAGGTTACTGGGACAATATTGGAGGCCATAAGGCAATGCAATTTGACAGATTCATATTGGGGCCGTGCGTCTTTCTTGTCTTAGGTTTATGCTTATCTATAGGGTTCTATAATGGGGGCATATGGAGCCATAAGGATTCTATAGGGATTCTAGAAAGGCATGTTATGATCTAGGACGTCAGAGTCTTCGAGGTTTAGGGCTTAAGATCTGAAAGAAGCTCTAACACCCATCCACGTGGTTTGCCGTATCCTAAACCACCCTAAACCCTAAACCACCGTCCCCAGACAATCTTGGATGCAACCCCTAGCTAGCCCGGAGCGCTTGCTCTCATGCAAAGTCCAAAAAGCCTTCCCCGTGCATTCAGATTTAGGGTTTAGGGGTACCCTCCAGTAGGACAGATGCCTCAACTCAACATAGCAGTACAGCAATTGTCAAAACTCCGAGCCAAAAGGCCTGGTCCCTGTGTAATTCCCACATCATCCATGTTGGCCCTATACTCAACAGGTCCAAAGTATCTAGATGGGTCGGAGCATGATGTCTTTAGTAGCAACTTCTGTTACGGTTTGGGTAAGTAGTCCTTATATGGGTACTTTGGACCTTTGGGGAATATTCAAGCCGCCCCAAAACAAGGCCCAGGTCACCTTCCCGCGTGCTGCCTATAACTTACCTTGAAAGTATAGAGGTCTCACGGGAGCCGTCGCGCCGGGAGTCTACTGTGGGAGCCTTTAGAATTCTGAATAGCGGCAATGACTTATGCTCATATCTTACCGCAATGGCTGCAGCAAAATCAATTGCAGAAGCTCTAGAAGTCAGTCAGCAGTTCCCAAAGGAATAAACCCTAAATGAGAAAAAGAGCCTTCCCAAAACCTCATACCTAAACCTCAAACTCTCAAGCATAAGCCCGGGAGTACTTGGGGGATCAGGGAACTTAGTATGTACATTCATAATAAGGAGAAGTGGGGTGATTATCTGGCTTATCAGAGCTACAAGCATACTTTCTCATCCCTTCATACGAACATTAAACCCCCCCGGTATGAAATTGGTCCCCCAATGTGTAAAATCTTGTATGGAGAATGCTTAACTTTCGGGTTGGGGGGCGCGTAAGATTAGCATGAGGGCATTAAGTCTCCCTGAGCCTCCCCTAAACCCTAAACCCTAAACCCTAAAACCTAAACCCTAAACCCTAAGACCTAAACCCTAAACCCTAAACCCTAAACCCTAGGACCTAAACCCTAAACCCTAAGTCTCCCTGACCCTCCAAGCATGCCAGGGGCCCAGCCAAGTAGTTCCTTGAGGCCTCCTTGGAGGCCATCCAATGAGGCCATGTCCTTCTCAAAGGGTTTTAGGGATTTAGGGGTTTAGGCTTTGGGGATTTAGGGTTTAGGGATTTGGGGTTTAGGGTTTAGGGTTTCAGGGTTTGGGCATTCGGGTTTAGGGATTAGGGTCGGGGGTTTAGGGATAGTAGGGTTGAAGGTTTCAGGTTTAGGGTCTGGGCTGCGAAGTTTTCGGGTTCAAGCATTACGGCTTAGGGTTTTAACCCCTCGGTCTATGGCTTTGGGCTTTTGATTTGGGGTGGGGGGCCCTGTCCTTCTTGACTTCGCGCCTCGTTAATCAGGGGTAAGGGGCTTTTCACCTCAACCCGTTATCCTAAACCCTAAATAGTAGTTTCCATTTTCTTTTCCATTATCCCTACAGAACCCCAACAATATACCCTAAACCCTAAACCCCAAACCTCATGTCGAAAACCCCCAACCCACATCCGGAAACCTAAAACGCCCTACATTCCCCTATGGGAAGCCCTCAACGCCGCAGTGTAGAAGTCTGATTCCTGGTGGTCTGCATAGAGCCCTACTTAAACCTACACAAACACCTGTTCCACTAATAACAGCCTCTACATTCTATCCCTGCAAGGTTCGATATAAAACCAGTTTCCATGTCATTGGCCTTCTGACTTTCCAGTCGACCCTCCAACATAAGGGATCCCTGAACTCCAAATTCCCCACATCTCCGCCCTTAGTTCACTGGTTCTTAATCAGGACATAGAGGAATGGAATCCCCAGAAAACCCCTAAATAATATGGTCCCATATTCCCTACTAACCACATATAAGTTAGGGCGCCGCCCTAAACCCTAAACCCTGAACCCTGAACCCTAAACCCTGAACCCTAAACCCTGAACCCTGAACCATCAACCCT